AGAAAACTCGCATACTGTAATATAAGGCACACAAGTGTCTTAAATACTGTTATTTTCAAAGATAAAACATTCACAATAATTGCACATATATCCAAAAAACAAGTGCCCCCCCCCCCCCCCCCCCCCCCAAAAAAAAAAAAATAAATCTCCCACTCAACCTATCAAAAGCCCATCCTGGAGGTCCTCTCACACAGCATTGATTGTTATCGAACCGTCACATTCTGTCCAAATGATCTTGTCCCAATAGCAAAGTCAATGGATACTCCTACTGAAGTAGCCAAGCCCACAGAAAATACTGTCTTTGATATTCAGTTCAATGCCACATGAGCAAAGTTACCTGGGTAAGGACACTTCGTCCGCTGAGCGTGTGGGTGATACTCCAGCGTTTTTAAGGTGCCATTACTGACAATTTCATTTTTGTTTTCTTTTTAGGTCTTTGGCAAATCATTTCTGCATGGTGGCAAAATAAAATTCCATATGGTACCTTCACATTAAACAAGCAAATGTTTAATACATTAACAATGAAGCTGTCAATGAAGTATATTTAAACAAGAACAAGAGAGTGGAAATCTAGCCTCCGGTTCCTATATTACTTTATACTCCTTGTCTCCGTAATTCATTGTTCTGGTGGCGATGATGAATTCCTTACCCATAATTAATGGGCAGTGGATCACTGTGCCCCCTCCCTTGCTGTTAATGTGAAATTGTGATGCACTAGACCATTAAGTGCTTAAGATGCCGGGATTCCCTCCAAAATGAATCAGCCTTCATCAGATTGACTGACGAATAATCTGTTTGTCAGCCTGCTCTGCCCTGTCAAAACCCTCCGAATTTACTGGGAGACTCCCTGATCTGAACACTTTCAGAGTTCAGGACCAATTAATTAGCTTGGTATTATACTAATTTCGCCCCCTTCAGTTTAACCACTGTGCCCCCTAGCTGTGATGGAGAGGTTTACACTGTGTTGCCATACAATGTCTCCAAAGGAGAGTCTGCCGAACCCTGGTTTACACACTGGCACAAGCTTTGCTTCCTCAGTGTGGGGGGGGGGGGGGTGTTAAAATGATCTTTCCAGAGAAGCTTCTGGTTCCCGATGGCTCCATCTCCCTTTTCACAGCTACCTTTCACCTGCTGTTTAATGAGCTCACAGTGACCTTGGACCATCACCAAACACCAGACGCGATTGGTTAACACCTCAAAACCCACATGAAGACATGACGAGAGCAAAGTAACATGAACAAAACCTGTTATTGGAGGGAAAAAAAAAACAAGAATGAAATTTTTAAATAAACACTTGTGTACAGCGCAAAAACGTCGTGGGAATTAAGAGGATTTTGGTGTGTCGAGGGCAGTAGGCATCGGCTCTGTCTGGCTACTCCATCATTTCTTGACCAGCATTTTTACTTAAACTGGGGTGGGATAGGGGAGCCTAATTGATCCTGCTGGATGGGAGGAAGGCCCTGGTGTTTGTGGAGGGCCGGGGAGGGCAGCTCTGTTCCTCAGGAGCCATAGGACATGCTCAGCTGCTGGACTAAAGCAACTGGAAGGACAGTGGCCAAGTCACTTTACCCGTGTGGATCAGATCACACGTGGGCCTTGAGGACCAGGGTCACCCAACCCTGACATGAAGTAGCAGCTTAAGAGGGAGTCTCCCCGCCTGGCCTCGGGTTAGCAGGAGGTGTGCAGGTAGAATCTCAAAACGATTTAACTGCGGGACCAAATTATGTGTTTGGAAACCTAGAGTGATTCTCAATACCAAGATAGTACTCGTGGTCTTGGCAAGACCGGTCTAGCCAAGTTGCCAAGAACAAACTTGGGGCTCGATTAATCATGGCAGTGGTCTCATTTGGCGAGGATGCAATCGATGCATCAGTGATATTTGGGGTGGGGCAGGAATGACATCCAGGCCTCCATACTCCTGTTCTTAGTATTGGAACTGGTCTTCAGCAATGGAAGATGACATAAAACGGGTACACGAGAACAGGAGTACGGTCAGGTACGCATATTGATAAACACCCTAGTCACCTCACATGCAGTGTTGGGTGCAAAACACTTTCCCTAAAGACTGTAGGGCTTTGGCCCTTTGGCCCTTAAGAACTAAACCTGCGATTAGGACTAGGCACCCTGAGACACGGTCGCTGCTGTAGAGGGAGAGTGCAGATGGGTGAAAAAGTATCAGTGTAGGGGGGGAGTGCGTGCAGGCAGAGATCAGAGTTGCTGTGGCTGCGGTTGCTGTAGGATGCGCACCACCCGGGCCAGTGAGTCCGTGCTGGCAGAGGACAGGTACTGACAGCACAGCCAGTCCTCCAGGCTGACACCGCAGGCCGAGTCCAGCGAGCGCTCGGCGAACTTAATCATCATGAGGGTCCGCTTCAGGTCCAGCCAGTTCTGCAGCGCAGCGTCCCGGTGGGCTGGGCCAGGGCAGGCGGCCAGCGCCTGGAACAGGTCCTCGCGGGGCCCCCATAAGAGGCACTGCAGGCAGGCGCGGGCATCCGAGATCTGGATGCGCTCCGACGGGTTGGCGTCGAGCAGGAGGCTGGCCAGGCGCTGCAGGCCACGGGAATACAGCGAGCGCACGGGCAGCGGCGGCAGGTCCGCGCACGTGTACTCCGTCTCCTTCAGCTCCGGCGTCTCCTCGAATGGGTTGGGCCGGTGCAGCATCTCGTAGATGAGGATGCCCGTCTGGAACTCGTCGCACTTGCGGTACTGTGTCGCTGTGACGATCTCGGGGGCCAAGCGCGCCTGCTCGCGCAGTGTGCCTGGCTCGGCCAGCGGGCTCTTCTGCTTGGCCTGAGAGAAGTTGCTGATGATGAGCCGGGCCGGGCAGCCGGAACTGGACGCAGATCCGGAGCCGTCATTGTTGTTATTGGGCTCGGGCATGTCCAGGTTCCAAGGGTTCCCTGGCTGGCAGTGGACCAGCAGCAGGTTCTCCAGCCGCAGGTCGCAGTGTGTGACGTGGTACGGCTTCATGTGCTCCAGGCCCTGACACAGCTGCAGGAGGAGCAGGCAAACCTGCCTCTCGTACAGGTCTGGGCTGTGGGTGTGCCGCTCTGCCCCCTGCTGCACGAAGTCAGCCACTGTCTGGAAAGGCACCTCGCGGGTGATGACCACCACGCGGCTGCGCAGCCGGCCCGCAGACATGGTGTGTTTCGGCTGCCCAGGTGACGAGGCCCCGTCTGCTACATCCCTCCGCTTGGCGACCCTCACATTGTTCTCACAGGCCTCCTTCCTCTCCTCTTCCTCCTCTTCTTCTTCCTCCTGGTCATCCTCCTCCCAGGGCAGAAGGCGTAGGGGCACATCGGCCAGGAAGTGGCCGCAGTCCTGCTGTATGTTGAAGTGCGGTGCCAGGCTCTGCCGCACGGCCAGGCTGTGGAACAGTTGCTGCTGTGTCTCCTTCACCTGGCTCCTGCAGATCTGCGAGCGGACCGAAGGAGAGTGGAGGTCAAAGGTCAACAATCACTGCTTTAGTACCTCTTAATTACCTAACAATCGGGCTTGGAGTACATATACTCAAGCCCCGCCTACACAAGGAAGTGGGGAATGAGAGCTGGAGCGGCAGAGAAGAGGAAGGTGGGAACAAACGCCCTGAAAAATACTTCCACACAATCCAGTGTTCCCATGGTTACAGGCAGTGAAAAGCGAACGGTTGTGGTTAGCATTCACAGCTCGTATCACATCTGACTCACATGCCATTAGCAATTTTAAGTCCTCTAAATATTTATTGGGTCCACGTGAGCAGCTTCTATCAGTCTCCTGGAGGAAGAAAGCCTGTTATGATTTATGTATGAGATGAAACATAACTCAGCATAACTGGCATGCAGGAAATCCCACTACTGCCCCCCCCTTTGAGAAATCCCATCCTGTCCCTGTGCACAAATCTAAGTTCAGTTTGGGTGCAGCCATGGCCATCATCAGCGTGCCCTCATGCCCCGCTCCTCTCCTGGCCCCAGCAGGTGTCGTTCTGGTGAGTGTCTCTGTCACAAACCCTTCAGATTGAAGATGACCGTTTTCGCAGGTTTTTTTCCCCACTCCTCTCTGGCACACAGTGACGATCTTTTTGGGCTGTGCCTTTTGTTATTCAGGACTGACTCGTGGATTCTGGAACATTCCATATTTATTGATTCTAGGTGATCTTAGCAAGCAACCCATTTATATTTATATTCATCGCAAATGCAAGACGATAGATAACCCAGTAAGATCATGCTTACCACTAATGGATATGTTTCCACATTTAAACTGCAGCCTCACACAAGCAGATATCTGTGGAGAATGAATGCTTTGCAATTTAGAATGGTACCTCCCCTGACAGCTAGTGGAAACCTTCCCCCCAGCAGTAGTTCTGTACTCTCTAAACTCCCTACAAACACACAGACAGAAATGCACAGGCACACACTGGTATTAAAATAGCATCATGGTTCAGTTGACTGTAAACGATTCATGGCATCCATCTTGAGAGCCATTTTGTTGTGTACCTGAATCTTGCAGACTCTGAACCTAATCCGCCTGCTGATTGGCTAACCCTGGCGGATGGGAGGGGATTGAGTCTGGCAGAAGCTCCCCCTCTCTGCTGCACCCAATTGGCCCAGATTTGTGAGTAGCCCCTCTAAACAGGTTTCGTTATGGGAAGCACAATCCCTGTTCCCCCCTGCAACGCCACTATGGCACCGACAACATCATTCTCAGCAGGGTGAGTGAAACGTTACATTGAGAGTTAGCAAGCCCCGCCAGGCTGATTTCTTACTGGTAACAGAAACTCAGGCCAACAAACTGTCATGCAAACTTAGCATTGGCATAAATCAACTGTTTAAAAAAGTACTGGTTTATATAACAACTTCTAAGGGTGCCTTGTCACTCATCAAAGTAATTTAACCTTGGAAAGACCAGAGCTGTGCATAAAATCAGTAAGTAGAAGCCTGAAACTGATCAATGCGTAGGCTGCGATGGCACAAGCGGAGTATGTACTAGTCCTTAGTAAGCCCCTCCCTAAGTAAACTGACAGCGACCCTGAGTGCCGGCGCCTTACCTTGACGGCGTAGTTGACCAGCGGGTCCTTGGCGTAAGAGGCCGTGTAGTAGACGGCATCGCCCGCCTCGCAGCAGGGTCGGCCTGTGGTCAGCCGGAAGTCGGACCAACTGTCCGTGCCGAAGCGCAGGGGGTCTTTCTGGCCTGCCATGAAGCGGTCCTCACAACGGCAGGCCAACTTGCGCAGAGTATCTGTGTGCAGCCCGCGGATACGGCCCAGCACTTCCTCCCAGTTGTCCATGCCCTTGTAGAGCCCCGCCCTCTGAGACCGGGTGCCGCCCCGACCACGCCCAGAGAGGGACTCCACGCTACGGCAGCCCCGCTTGGGCTGGCGACCTGCTGAGACGGTGGCAGGCGACGTCATGCAGGACAGGCTGGTTGCTGGGCGACCCTTGCCGGCTGCCGGCCTTTCCAGGGAGTCCCCAGACTCCTGATCCGGTGGGCGCACCTCGGAGCCCATGGAGGAGCCCTGGCTGGCCGTCTCCCATGTGGAGTCCAGGTCGTATAGCGGGTTGGCCACGCTCAAGTTGGAGCCGCCCGGCTTAGCCTCGCCTTTGGGTCGTGGAGCCTGGAGCTCCCTGCCCAGCGCCGAGGGCTCTGTGTTGGCCCGAGCGATGTTCTTCTTAGGCAGGGGGGGTGGCGTGGCCTTGGGGCCGCCATCAGAGCCCTCCGGATCCCCGGTTGGCAGCGTGTCATCTGAAGCCTTAGGGTTTCTGGGCTGCTTCAGGGGGATCATGTTTGCCCTGGACTGGCCTGAGGGACAGGAGACACAGCAGCCTGTTTTACCATATGGCGTTAATTTACTTAGCCAACAGCCTTGCAATCCCTGGATGGGCTGGCTGTTTTACCCTTGAGAATTAAATCCATCCCTGAACTGCGTCAATAGAATATTCAGCTATATATATGTAAGAAATTATTCTAGTATATGTTTTAAATAAAACTACAGCACACTGGGATACTCTACAGTGGTGTTTTCCTACCCTGTAGGGAGCCGGAAGGGATCAAAAACGTGGACCGTCTGGGGGTCCCAGTGGACCGGGTTGAGAAATGCTGAGTAGCTGAGTAAGTTAGCGATCTTAGCGTGTGCCTCAGATACTGTAGGTGTGAATCCTGTGTCTGGCAGAGTAATCATGGCCCTTAGACCCAAAGGCCCTTAAACCCAAAGACACCAAAGGGTGGCTGACCCTGATTTCTGGTGCCAAACCTTCATCACTTCGGACGTCCCGAGCATGCTTGCACCCCTATTTACAAAAGTTACTGCAAGTTCCTTAACCTGCAGCCCAACCAACCCCCCTGGTCGACAAATTTCCACCTCCCAGAAATCCATAGGCCAATGGTAGGATGTCTGTCACTTTCGACAAATTCATCTCCTAAATAAATTATTATAAATGTACTACATACAGCTATGGTATTATCATAATAAATGTCCTCCCTTGTGAAAGCGTGGACAGTAATGCTGTCGATATCCAGATCAAAAAACCAGTTCAAATCAAAAGCCCCCATCTGCCTCCGGGCAGGGAAAATCAAATCTCAGCATGGGGAATTCTCCTCGAGGCTTAAGGAGACTCTCTCAGCAGCGTCCTACTTCCGCTCTGATTATTTAGTCTGTTGGACCAGTTTACAAAGTATCAGAGAGGAAAAAAGGAACAAACAAAACATTTTCAGGTTGACGTCAATGTAACCAATTAAAATTAGTAATATCCTCTCTGAAAAATAGCAGTTTCATTCTGACAATGATATATGAGCAGCAAGTTGGCAATAATGTTTATCTGCACAGGTATGCACTTGTAAATGGCACCATGCCACTTTAGCAGATAAGCAATGACAGATCTATTTAAATATTTAATTACACACAAAATATCATGTATTATACATTTTTAATACAGTACCCTGAGTAGGAAATCTAGGACACAGATGATATGTACCATGTTTTTGAGGGAAAAAAAAAGAAGTAAATGATGGGATTAACTGAAAAGTTAACGGAGCTTAAGCGCATCTCCCTGTAAGCGGATGAGACAGCGGATGGTTTAATCTCCTGGCGTCCAGCTCGCTAATGCTAATGCTAAAAAGACGACCAGTGGGGTCCTTTGATGGCACAGGCACTGCACTGGTCAGCCTGGATTTTGTGTCACATTTATAATATAGTTATTCAGCAGGCACTTTTGCTCAAAGCGACATACAAGTGAAAAGAGCCCAGGGTCAGGTGGAGCAGAGGGTTAAAGGTCTTGCTCTGGGGCCCAGTTGTGATATGATTCCAGTTCCATGATTATGGTCCATGACCTTTTGGAAAAGGCACAGATCTGTAATATACTGTGTGCCCTGGGTCCATGTCATTAAAGCGACCAGGTGAAGAAGCTTGACCTCGGACAGGGAAAATGATCACCAGCCTGGGCTGGTTTTACGAGTTTGGTTACTGGTTCTGTGGCAACCATAACATCTTGAGCATTTCCTATGAAAGGTTTGTGGTCTTTTCACCCATATAGATGCTTCCTGTCATAAGGAAGCGACCAGCCAGCGTTATTCACTCCTTTGTGTTTCAAACCCCTGCTCTCAGTAACCGTTAAAAGCATCACCGTGACGTATTAACAAAGGTGGGTATCAGCTGTACTGACCATCCAGAAGCTTCTAGCGGTCAGTTGAGGAGGTACACATTATGGCATGTGAACTAGCAAAAACCAGTAAAGGTCTGGGCCATCTCCTCCATTGGGGGTCCGAATTTGCAAACTCCCAGTCCATCCCCCAGTGGCAAATGGGGGGGGCCACATCTCTCAGCGGCACCTCCTTGTGACAGACCATTAATCCCAGAGAACCAGGAGAGCCTCCTCCGCCGGAACCAGGAGTGTACGTGGTACAGAGGGACCGGCATCACTTACTTACCGCCCTGCAGTACAAAGCCAGTCATCCACTGTGTCGACTGCCATTCGATAAGCACTGGAGAGCTTTTAAAGCCATTACATAACCCTCTCCACTAGAAACTAATGCAACACACTTCCTGAAAGGTCCTGCTGCCATTTAAACATCGGTTAATAAATATGTTAATGTGAATTTCAAAATATTTTCAAACCTTACCAGTCATAAAAATTCTATATTCTGCAAAACTGACAAATCTCTTTGGGTTTTAATACCAATCACATTTTTAAGTACATTGTTTTTTTTTCTAGAGAATTCTGATTCACGTTTGCTTTGCAGCTCTGGCCCCCGACTGGCTCTCCGCTCCGATCGGCATCGATCTCAGCTCGTCTGCCACAGGCTGGCGCAGCTTCGCACCTGACCTCGGGGATCAGATCAAAGTTTCTGTGCTTTCTGGGAAATTTCCCCTCGGCACCTTTTCGGGGATGCAGGGGGTGGGGGGGGGGGGGCTTGGGTGGAAATGAGGGGGCAAACCTCGCACGTTCACCACGGGATCATGGCCTTTTTTGGCCACTCCATGCATGCACACGCTTGTGCTGAGACTTAAGGACACGCAAACACACACGACGATGCAATGTGGGGAGTGACACCCGCAGAAAATACAGAGACTCATGCACAGCCAAACGCGCGTGTGGGGGGGCACGCACCCCCCACTGCAAAGCCGCGCCACCCGCCGCAGCCTGCACCCCGAGCCGAAGCCTACCTCAGCATCCGAGGCTGAGCGACAGCCGTCCTGGTGACAGCTTTCCGGCAGTAACGGTGCTCAGAGCGGCGGAAGCAGACGTGCCGGGTGCTGACTTGGTCTCTCTCTCTTTCGCTCGCTCGCTCACCCTCTCCATTCCTCACCGAGAGCTCCGGCTGCCAACAAGCAGGGCACCCCGCACTCCTACCGTGTTCATTTAAAGTCCGCCCCCGTGCTCTGATCCACACTGCTCCACCGGGGAGGCGGAGATAGGAGTGTGGAATGGGGAGGAGTGGGTGGGGGGGGGTGTGACTGAATGATGAATCTATGTGGGTCTGTTAAAAAAAATTGATTGGGAGCCACAAAGACAGACACCCGGAAACCTGCAGGAACTACAGTCAGTCCCGAGCAGAAGAGGAGGCAGCTGAAGCCTGTGGATGTTTCTAGAAGCCGGTGCTTGACCGCTGTGTGGCACATCCAACTCAATTGAGGACAGGATTCTGTGTGAGTGAGTCAGAGGCAGCAGTATTGACCCAAGTCTGAGGCTCGAGCCCCTCCCCCTCCCCTTTCCCTAAAACTCAGAGCGTCACAATCCAATCAGGAGAGCCAATCCGAATCGGGAATGAGCGTGGGGGGTGAGGAAGGAATGAGCATAGGGATGGCCCAGGCTCCGCCCCACTCATCCCCCCCACAGCGTATTGGGCTGGCTCCTGAGCCCCCTGTGAATATCATCACCGCTCTCCTGGAGCCCTCTGCCCCCCTGATTGGACTCCTCTACGAACGGAGGTACAATGCAGTTTTCATTTCCCGCTTCAATCCCTCTCTTTCCAGAATCCTCCCACCGACCAGAGCGAGTGCTGCATCAGCCGACGTGAAATTGGGCTCCTGCGCCAAGCAGGTGAACGTTGCATTCGGCAAGGCCCCCGAAGGTGGGAAAATGGAGGGTCGGAAGCAACTGCATAAGAACGTGCAAACAAAGCCCCGCCAAAGGGCCCGATGGGTAACGACGGGGGCGTTTGCCCCGCCTCCCCCCCAGTTGTGGCGCCTCCTCGACGGCATGGTGAGCGAGACCCAAGTTACTATTCCCTCCGCAAGCCGATAAAAATGTTTCAGTGCTCTCCCAGCAGCGAGAGCAGACATCATCTGACACCCTCTGGCGTGCGGGTTTACTGGGGTCGAGGCATCTGGTGAGAGAAGGAGGGACACCACCCACCCAGGTCTGGCCATCATGGAGCTGGGAGGCATGAGGATTGAAAAACTGGATGATCTCAGATCATTATTCACTTTCTACATAGACATAGGTAACTGCCAACATACAGGCATAAAGGCTACTGAGGCGAGACTTTTATCGGGGCCTCTTGCCTGTCACACATTACACGGTTGAATATGTCGCCTGAATGGTTTCAGATGAAAGGCTTTTCTCAAGCGTGTTACGGCAAAATACCTTTCAAAGGGCTGGGTTTGCGTCCGCCATGTTCGACCTCAGGCTGGGGGCCAGAAGTGGCTCAATATTTAATGCTCATGGCTAATGCTAGTGCTATCAATAAATATGAATACTTCAATTTTAAATAAAATGCATAATATATAACTTATACGGTGATTAAGGTCAGAGCACGAGGGTCCCCCTTTAAACTACATTAACTTAATAAGGGCCACTGGTGAGATACTGAGGTGTTTTATAGCTTTGAATGTCTGATTCAGACCTGATAATTTCAACTGTAGAAGCTTTTAAATTTTTCCCATGAAACTTGTTGGTTTAACAGCCGGCACAAGTCTGCGGTCATAAACCCAGAATCCTCAGGCGGCCCCCATAGAGCGAACACTCCAACGCTTTGACCATGTAAAACACAGGCAGTACAATGGCAGAAAATAAAACCAAAAAATGCTCACAGGTCATCCCTGGGCAAACGAAAGGCCTCATTCTTCAAGAAACGGAATCAGAGCTAAAGTTCACTGGGTTTTCACAAAAGATTTTTAAAGAATCTTTGCTAACATTTTACTTAAAGCCATGTTTTTAGTAAATTACAAACACATTCATAATGCAAAATAATGCTTTCATAAAGCATTATAAACATGGCGGTTATAATGTATTATGCCTTTTTATATATATATATATATATATATATATATAGCCATGTTTATAATGCATTATGAATGCCTTATGAAGCTCTAATCTATAATGCACTATAGATACCTTTATAATGCATTATAATGATCGGTATAAGCATTAAGGATGCTCTGTACTGCATTATAAATAAGCTTCATAAAGCATTTAAAATGCTTAATACACATGGCTATAATGTTTATAATGTTTTATGAACACATTATTATTTGTTATGAATGTATTTTTAAATTGCTAAAAACGTGGCCTTAAGTAAAGTGTTACTGAGGTGTTTTCTGCCTTTAATATTTAGGTGTCAGTATGTATGTTTTATCATCGAACAATCTACACCCCCGGCACCTTTACCAAGGTTGCTGTAGGTGGCGCTGCAGGTGCTGGAAGCTGGTGAGTGGGAGCGCGAGGGGAAATGGACACTGTTGTCGTCTGGCTCGCCTGGGCCGGCGGCGCCCTCGCCCAACAGCTGCGTGACGGCTGCTCCTCTGGGCTCCGTGTGGGGGGACATCTCCAACATGGCCGACAAGGAAGCTGTAGTAGGGGCGTGGCCTTCTGTGCCCTGCGCCTTCACCATGCTACACGGGAGTGAAACAGATTTAAGGTGATAAATATGACAGTGCTAAGAGTCCCCATAGTGACCGACGTCTCACTGTGGCTCCCGGAAGATAACTGGAGGTTTTCAAATCAGGTGCAAAGAACCGTTACTATCCAGACTGAGTGATGAGTCACTCCAATCTCACGGAAATGGGGGGGGGGGGGTGCTGTTCACTTCTGCCCAATTCAGTGAACGCTTTGCCTAATTGCTGCCAGCGCTTGTTTCCTGGTGAACAGGAGAATGAAATGAGCTTCACCATTGTGGTGCCGAATGAATGGGCATTAAGGTGTCATGATCCGCTCCGTCCGCTCCTGATGTGTGCCACGCCCACCTCGTTACCTTGTGTTCAGCCCTAATTGTGATCGCCTGTGTCCTGTTAAGTCTAGCTTGTCTCTTGTATTTAGTCCGCGTTCCCGTTTGTATCCCCAGTCCGGTCATTGACGTTGTGACGTTGTTTTGTTGCGTGCTCTGTGTTTTTGGACATTAAACTCCGTATTCCCCGATCCCTGGCTTCCGTGCACCTGCTTCCCCGATCCGTGCTGCACGTGATCATAACATAAGGTGCACATTACGGGGACGATTCCAGGGCTGTAGCCAAACTGGTTAACAGCCAGTTCAGAGAAAGCAAGGCAGGTGGCATTTAATCCTCAAACCTGGGAGGGGGGGTGTTCCACAAAGCATGATTTCTAAGTTAGCTGGGTTAACTTAAGCTAGAAGTCATGGTTGTCCAATAAGAGTTTAGCTAGCTGAGAAATCTTGCTTCATGGAACACCCCCCTGGGATTTTGTCTAAAATGGGGAGAATCAAGTCATATACATTAGTGGCCAAAATTGTGGAAACACTTTCAACTTTTAGATATTGGAGAACTTTATTCAACTCTTGCTGCAGTTCCTTATTTAATCGTTCAATGTATGATATTTGTAACACTGTTTATAAGCATTACCGCCAATACACATGTAGTAATTTTTAAAGCATAATGCCAAAAATGCTAGATGTTTCCACAATTTTGCCCAGAACTGTATAAAATCTCAAGAAATGGACACTGCGTTAGTCAAGGGCTCACAGATAAAGGAATTTTCTCAAAAAGTTGAGAAAGCAAAGTTGAAAGCAAAAAGGTGCAAAACATCCATATTCTTCTTCTTACTATTATTATAAAAGATGTTTTGCACCCGATTTGTCTATGAAGAAAGATAAAGGAAAGTTTTTCCGTTAACTAATTAATATGTTCATTGCTCAGACATATGCAAATGGTGCCCTTTGCTTAAGGGACTGATTTGCACTTTTCCTTGGTCTGCTGACTCATAAGAAGGTCTTCTTTTTAATGCAGAGTGATTCTGGATTTGGTTTACTTGGCAAAGCAGCACTATTTGCCCGTTCGGTGTCTGGTCTCTTATGTGGTTTAGGTGACCCAGCGTGACCTCTGGGGCTGGAACCTGACTCCGCTCCGAGTGTGGCGGCGGGTCCCAGACGGGCCACATTCCTTCTCAGGACCAAAATCCCCACAGCAAAGTCTCCCGGGGGACTTTGCCGGCTCTTGGCGGGATCGCAGATCGGCACGACAACCACAGCGTGACAAATGAGCTGGCTAACGATGCCCGCTGGACCAAAAGATCACGCCCTCTAAAAGATGTTGTTAGAATTGCTATTTGCAGTTTTTAAAAGCTTTAGCTAAAAATCACGTTCCTACTTCCAATACTAGTATCAAGACGCCTTCCCAGACTTCTAAAAAAAGATAATCAAAATTATAATATACTGTACAAGTCTACATATAAAGACAGTCATGAACTGGCTGATAATAAAATATAACAGAATTCCCCTTTACATCCTGCAAGGTGCTAATGGGAATGGGTCTTCTCAGACAAGATCTCCGAACCCTAATCCCAACCCAAACCCTAATCCTAACCCTAACCCTAACCTTACCACACTAGAGCTGCAGGTGTTTGACCATGTCTACCCTTGTTTTGTCTTTCATTGGCCCAGGATGGAAACACAAAAACCTCAAATGTGAAAATGAAATGAAAATGTGTTCCAGGAACGCTACTCCACCATGGAGGCTGGCCTATATTTTTGTGCTCTTATTTTCTAACTTTAAATCACTATCAAGGCTGCAGGAATGACAAAGGCTGAAGCTGGACATCTTACCGCTGACGGCAGCTCCAGCAGTTCCCCATTAAGGCCCAGGTTTGGAGGACGTGTCTCAGTGAAAACTGTGTCAGTGGAGCACAGCTTTCTGATGGACCCATGTAGCACCGTGCCTCTGTCTCTCCTTTCTGGTGATCGTCCGCCTGTCAAAAGGTGCTGCCTGCTAACTCCCAGAGTGCCATCCAGCCAATCAAATTGCTAAGCTAGGGCTTGGGGGAGGAGCCAGAGAAGTTATCTGTACAATTGTAGCGGAAGTGACGCCAAACTGTTCATAGCCTTCATAGTGTGCGCGCGTGAGTGTGTGTGTGTGGTTGTGTGTGTGTGTGTCTAGGAAGCAGGACAACATCAGGGGGAGGTGAGAGCAGCCAGGTGGTTTACAGCTGAGATTTAGTTTATGGAGATGACACCATTACTGTGACTGTGCTTCCTATTGAAAGGATGAACGGATGACAGACCTAGCTGGGAGAGAAGGGCCCCCCACTCTGTAGTACTAGCAAGACCACGGACTCAGAAAAGAGCAGGAAATCCACCAAGTGATCACAATGAAGCCGTAGATGATTCTCGTTTAATTCACACCCTGATATCCCAACGTGTCCAGACACCAATGTGGAATTGACAGTGAGGAGGGCGAGTCGATATTTAGGGTTCACTACAGAGTGTGGTTTTAATGGAAACAGCACGGTCATGGTTCTCCGGCACAAGTGCGACCGGCTTATTAAAAGAATCGTTAACAAATGGTGCAATGGAAGGAGATCATCGTACTGCAGTCTACGGGGAGTAACGAGTGACCGTCTGGCCTTACAACCAGACTCAACAATGACAAAAAGCCAGGGGTCAGAGGTCACAGGTCATGCCCGACTTAGCACACCAGGGGTTGGATTTACTTAGGCTTACTTAAGCTGGCGTAACAACATGGAGAAAGGTACTTAACATTAATTGCTCTGATAAAAAAAAAAACCCAGTTTTTTTTTTACAAATTTAAGTCACTTAGTAGGAAAAAAGGGCTGGCAAGGCCACAAATTAATAACCATTCACAAGGCATCCTGTTTTTTCCCACGAAAAGTCAGTGCATAACCTAGTTTGAGACCCACAAAAGCCAGGTCCTTTTATTAACATCTGAAGCATTTTGAAACATGTATGAATTATGGTGATAATCAAAAAAAACCAGCAGTCAAGGAACTGCCGATGAAGTCAGTCAGGGGATAAAAGAGAGTTTAATGAGACCATCACTGAAATTTATGTATGTCCTCAATAAAACCTCCCTAATTTAGGCTATGTGTAATGTCTAGGCCTCTGAATATGTCTCCACAGTCATTAAATGTGCTAATTTGCATTCTCTCCAATTACTGGCTCCATGGGATAAACATCTGAAGTTCATTACATCTGTGTGCACCCTTGACAAGCAGTCATATTAGATTCATGATGACGCACAGAAGCATTTACAGCAATGTCATCTGAAGGGTGAATTTCTGACTGTCTTCCATGTTTTAACCATTTCCCTGAATGATCTTAGCTTTTTTGAATCTTTTCTTTGTAGCACGTGTGCTAACCTGTTACTGGTGATAATGACGCTAATCCTACCTCTGAGGTTTGTAATAGTGGAGTTTGGGGGAACCAGGCCTTGTATCTCGACCTTAGAGATGGATCACAGGCCAAACTCATGCTTTATCTTCCTAAGAGCCCTGTCCCTCCCCGAGCTTTCATGGCATCCTGGAAACATCACCCCCTTTGTGACTTTGATGGTCACCTCATGCCGTCAGCCGCCTGAAAGTGCCATGTCTGCTTGACATGCCTTTTCCTATGACGGAGGCTGCTCTAAAGTGACTGGATCATTTCTGCGGAGCAGCAAAAATTCTCTAAGACAGAGTCAGGAGAAGAAGCTGCATCCATGCCAAAATCTGCAACAAGCAAACAGCAAATTTGTGTCAAATTTAAACCCCTAAAAATAGAAGCCACAGCATAGCTGCCACATGTGGGAGCCTTGCCTTCCCAATCCTGGATGAGATGTTATACAATGACCTTGCTTTGTTTTGATCTGGTTTGGGAAAACATGCCAACTTGTAGCTACTATCCTTGCAGGAGAGCAAAATAAAAATAACTGGGTGCGAGTGAGCGTGATATTCATGATTGCCCTATGTTCCAATCAGTTAGATATGCAGGTAAAAATATCATCGCTTCTTTCATTGACAGTTGCTATTTCCCATTCACCTGGCACCCTTGTGTCACTCGAGTTTTAATGAACATCGATTAGCCTTAAACACAAAGTCTTTAAATAGAGAACTAAACTGAAAGGACACTCCCCAGACAACTGTATATGCCATCTTTGCGGCAAAAATATATAAGTTCTGGCTGAACGTTGTAAAATGAGGATTTATGTGAGATGGCACCACACATTCGGCCTGCCCGGCACAATGGAAACACTCCAGCTAATGATCCTTGCATGCCTTTGTGGCACTCCGATTAAACACTTTCACATAAGAAGCAGCCGCCAACTATCTGCATTTGTATGCAAGGTAGGGCTACTGGAACTGTTCAATCACTCATGCATGATTAATGGAAACCGTTCAGGCTCTTCCTGGCTAATTGGGCAATAATACTGCCTGTGGGAGGCACCAGTAAGAATTTTGCAATGACCGCCAGCTAACCAGTGATTGGCAGAAAATGTATGTGTGGACAGATAAAGTAAAACATTTGCAGAAACAAACACTTTAATTAGGAGAATGTGACAAAATAGCTGAGAGGATCGAGGAAGCATGTCATGGCGGGAAACAGGTCCTAATGAGAGTCAGATTCTGATTAATGACACATACCTGATATCCCTGGTGACCAAAGATGTCCCGGACTTCAGCTGCTTCCCCGTTTGCTCATGGGTCAGCTGCAAAGTTTCTCTCAGTTCCTCCACATGCAGCTGTTGGCCCTCTTCCCCATCCATACTTGCTTCAACTTCAGGCTTGTATGTGAAGATGATGGTGGGCTTCTGACTGGGGTCATCTGCCTTGGCCTCTGTAAACCAGTGGTGGCGCTGGATGGGCGGTGGGGGCAGCATGTGGATCACAGTCCCATCGAGGCCCAGGAGTTTTCCCTTCTCCTTTTCCCGTTCGGTGCGCTCCCGCTGCTCATCCTCATCTTTCCGCCGGCGGAAGAAGCTCTTGAAAGAGATCCAGCGCTTGGGCTTAGTGCTCTCGGCCCCTGCTCGTTTCCCCTCACCTCCGCTGGGGCTGGTCTCACCCTCACTGGGGCGGGAGGTCCCTGCTGCTGGTTTGGCCCAGTTACCAAAGTGCCTCTGAAGTAGGTTGGCGGCATGGTATGGTGAGGAAGTGGACCTGGGAGGGGGGAAAGGAGCGTTGGGTTCAGACCTGGGGCTGGTTGGAGGAATGGCTGCAGAGGAACTCTGGGATTTTGGTAGCTGTTTAGAAGTGCCATCTTTCCTAGGCTTGGAAAGGCATCCATCTGTGGTGGAGAAAAGAGACTTGGGTCTGCTGAGGGTATCCTTAGTGGCATCAGGCGGTACTGCATAAAGCTCCTCAGCACTGCAAGTTTTGCTCTGTGCCATCGGCGATTCGGGTGGCGATTGCGGCGGCTGTATGGAGGCTACAATCTGAGAAAGCACAGTGCTGGCCTTCTCCCTGTGGCTAGAGCCAGTGCCTGTTGATGGCTGGTACTCACTGGTGCCCACTTTGTCAGGGGTCATCTCCCTGCTGACTTTGCCAAAGCACCCCTGGGAGACAGCTGAGGAAGTCCCTTTGGCTAAGCTTCCCATTGGAGGAGATGTAAGCAAGAGACTGCTCATTGCAGCTGAGCTGGGAGTCATACTAGAAACCGTAATGGATCCTGAGTTGAGCTCTTGGACTTTCTGTGCTACGGAGCCGACTTTCTTCTCATCAGCAGCAACTTTCTCTGATATGAAGTTCCCGTTAGCACATGTTTCTATCGGAGAGGATGGTGTGCTCTCAGCAGAGCCTATCTCCTCGTATGTGTGACTAGCCACTCTTCCACTTCCTGCTGTCTTAGCCGGGGGTATCTCTCCACTCACCCCCAGGAAGCTCTTATAAACCGCAAGATTGTCATAAGCACTAGGATTGATGACAATGGGCACTTTGACAGCATTCTTAGAGCCGCGGGCGTAGGTCGGTTCATCACGGATGATGATAGGGAATGGCGGCATACCAGCATTGTTGTAACTGTTGAACTTGATTTCAGACAAGTTCGGTGACTTCACAGGGACAGTACGGGAGGATGAGGAGAGACCAGCTGTGGGGGAGGTTGGTGCTGACTTGTGGCTGCAGTGCCTTGGAGGTACGACTGGACCAGAGGTAGCCCCACCCATCAGTTCAACCTTGGGGACTTTCTGACGAGGACTAGTGCTGGAAGTCCAGACCTCCTGGTAACGGATGTTGCCAGGTTTTTTGCGTGATGCGTTTAGCAGTGCAGAAGGTGTTAATGATGTTGGGGAGACTGGGGATGTTGGAGATAGCGGCAGCCCCAAGGGGGAACTGGGAGAAGAAGTGGAGGAAACTGATGAACCCTTTGGTTTGGAGGTGCTGTCTGTTGGGTGTTCCTCAGTGTGACCCATGGATGCAGACACATCCACCACAGTGTAGGGCTTACAGATAGGAGCCTTTTCTAGGCTGACTACGCGGTACGGTTTAGCTTGCTCTTCTGTGGGGCTGAAGCTAATGGTGACTGGTTGGCCAGGAAGTGCCTGAGGCAGGGGTCCACCTTCTTTCTGGTTCCCATCTCGTTCCTCAAGCCTGATGGCCAGGACAGCTTTGTGGGTCTCTGAGACCTTTGGTGACCTCAACCCTCGCTGAGCTGACTCCTTCTCTGCTGCACTGTCTGGAACTGGCTCTCGACTTTCTGACGGGGAGTGCAGACCATTAGGCAAGTGACTAGGAGCGCTGCTGGTACTACTGGAGGTGGTTGTCCGTGAGTCCTCTGGGGCAGAAGACGATGATTCGGGAGAAGTGGTTGATTCAGAATTGGAGAAGAAGCCACTACCTTGCAGGTCATGCTGGCCAAAGGGGACGAACCCACCATTGGAGTCCACTGAAGGATAGCCATTGAGTATCTCGTCGTAACTGTCATCATAGTCAACAGCACAGATCCGTTGGAGTGAGCGATTCCGGAGAGGTACAGTGTTCCACTTCTTGCCTGCAGCAAAGGGCACTGGGGATAGGGTAGCGGCACGGAAATTAGCAAAGCGAGGCTGTCCTCTCATGCGGATCTCCATAGCTAGCAGCTCCTCATCACTCTCATCCCAGCTTTCGTGCTCACCCCCATCGTCACCCTCGCTTTCTTCCTCTTCTTCCTCCCCTTCGCTGGAAAATTCTGGGTAGCAGAAGCGACCCCCCTCGGTGCTGATCACCTCGGTGCTGTCGCTCAGGGAGACGTGCTTGTGGCTTGCCCCCCCGCGGCTGCTTTCCATAGCTAGGCAGCTGGAGGCTGGCAGGCCTCGCTCCAGCGAGCGTTTGTATGAGGTGCTGATGCGTCCCAGAAAGAGATCCCTGGAGCTGGACCCAGAGCTAGAGCCCAGATCAGTTCCCAGACCGGCAATCTCCTTTAGCACCTCAGTCAAGCCATTGTTATTTCCACTGGCGGGTACCCGACAGCTACGTGGCCCGTAGCCTTCAAACTCCTCCCCTCCATCCTCCCCTTCATTATTGTTCACTCCACTCGGCCTCTTCCAATTCGTCCCATTGCGATTCCAAGCTGCAAAGTCTGGCATTTTTCCAGCTTCCACGGCATCCGGTGTCACCCGGTTTCCTTCGGAGTCCAATCCGGCCGAGGAGCAGGACAGCATCATAGTAGGCTTCACGGCAATGGTGGGCTTCTTGGCCACCGGAGGCCGGAAGTGTCCAGGACGGCCTGAGCCGCCACTGCGCACGTAGGGGCTGGCAACGTTGGCGTTAGGCCTCCCCGCTGCAGGCGTGTGACTCTGCAGCTGCACGGGCCGCTCCTGAGGCCCGTTTTTCAGGCCTGCCTCGGCCAGGCGGTGTAGGCTCTTGGGTTTGAAGCAGTTCTTGCACTCGCCCGGTTTCCACACGTGCTCAGTGAAGGTGTTGCAGGCAGACATGGCTGCGGTCCCGGTGGGCCGCGCGGAGGGTCAGAGTCCTCGGACCCCCCCCATGGGCTTTCCGCCTGGTGAACAGGGTCTTCTGGAGAGCTGCACAGTGTCGTGGGCTGGATACTTCAAAACTTCCTTCTGGAAAACCTGGTCTTCTTCACCATAAAACAATCAGAGCCTGCAGGTACTCAGAAGAAAAGAAAGTGTAAAGAACAGGACCAGTTTAGGTCAAATCATTACTATAAAGCTAATAATTAACTGTTACATTTGGCTACTGTAAGGTTTTTTAACCACCCACCTGCTGACACAACATCAAGTTAAATATATATAGCCAGTAATATTTCAGCCGACCCATTTATCACATACAGAATCCATTTCTTTGGCCCCCGGCTCCTCTAAAAGCCATAAAGATCCAATTAAAACACTCTGACACTAGCAATGATCAATAATTCAGGTATCTTTATGCAGTTCTACACAATGTATGTAAATCAACAAGCTGAAACTTTTGGGAATGCATTAATTCACAATCATTAATCTTTTTATGTCAACTAATGAATATAAATGATTTTTACCTTTTAAAAAGTTCTGAAACAAGACAAGTGACATATACTCAATTCAGTGTAATACCATTCAAATAAACTGTACTGTGGCATTAACTGCACTACTAGACTGTCAGAAATAAAATTCCAGTCTTTCAGAATCTCAACATTTTCAGTCAATAATACCAATCTGCAGAGCAGTACTCCACCACAGGGTGGCTCTGGGGAGCCTCATTCCAGTATCTTCCTCAGACCCTCTGTTGGGGATGGGGGGGGGAGCAGATTCGTGTCTCTATTAATCCTCTGCTGTGTCCCAGTGACCACAGGGTGCTGTGGGCTGCCAGATTCACTCAACCAGATTCACTCAAAATAGAAATTTTTACATAAAGCTGTCCATATTCTGCTTTTGAAAAGTCACTGAGTTCCCAATAAGAACTGCACTAATTCTGTTCAGAATGCACACTGGTTTCTTTTCACTCACTAGTTTGTTTATTTTTTATCACTAATTTGCCTTATGTTGACTGGGTTGTTGTGCTTTACTGCTGAAGAACACAAAACGACAAACACAAAATTCAAGTTGTTGCTAATATCACTTTTTAAAGTGACAGGATCCAGTTTTTTTTTTTTAAATAAGAAGCAAAAATATTTGAGGCTGATTTGTAAATGGCTGCCATCTCACAAGGCTTAAAAGCCCATTTGCTGTGTAGGAGGCTGAGTGACTAATGACTAAGGCCTCGAGTCACCGTTTACTTTGCTTGCCTAAGCCCACGATTCCCAGTCAGGCCATGCCCTACTTCATGTGGCATCCGTGACACGATGCCGTGTTCTCCACAGGCGTGTCTTGGTGCTCGCACTTAACCTGAGCTGGCTTCAGTAAAATACTAAGGTTTCAAGTGTCTAAAATGGACGACCTGTAGGCTAGACAAGTCGAAAAAATCCCCACCAGATTTAGGGAGCAGTTAGCTGGACACACTGCCAGGAAGCCCCTGAGAGTGCTGGAGGGCTTCTTACTCTTATCAGAAGCAACATGCATTTTTATTAATTGTTTTCAGCTGGTGATTTTACTGGGATGATTTAGGTAAGTTGCCCTGCTATAAGGCTCAGCCATAGAGCCCTTGGCGGGAACAGAACCATCGACCCTCAGCGCGATGCTGCCTGGCAGCCGGGGTTGAGCTTGTTAGTGACAGCGTGTTAATCGGCTTGTTGTTACGTTAGTGTTGAAGAAACCATGAAAACAAGGGGCCGTTAGTGCAGGGAGAGAGGAAGGGAGGGGCCACAATCCCCTGATTCTGCCTCTAATGTCATTAAGGGGTCTCCTTTTTCATCCTGCAATACATCCAGCAGGTTTTAGTTAATGTGCTTATTCATTTGTTTTCCACAGGGGAAGCCCATTGACTGAGCTAAGGATCCGGACAGTGATACGTCATGATGCACAGCGATTCACGGTGAGTGGAGGCAGGGGGAATTTTCACAGTTGCCTACTGGGCTCGACCTGCCATGGGAAACCGGGAGGATGTTTCCGGCCTTTGGTTTCCCTCGACCTGCGGGCACATTTCCGCATGGGAGTAACTTTGGCCGGAGACAGGAGGAGGGGTCACTGGGGAGACAATGGCAAGGTCAGGAAGGAGTGGGGAGGGGTTATAGGCCAGAGGGGGCACAGTTTCAGGATGATTTGGGATGAGGTTTGCCCTGTCAACACCCTGCGCTGTGACAAGCAGATACAATGGTGCAGGAACCTCGAGCTTAAGGGTCACTCAACAGAGGATGGAACTTTAATGTGTTTATTGTTCGTTTAAAGGGAGAGGTGAGGAATGAGTCATCCTGTCATCCTCTTTACTGAACACCACTGTCCATCCACACAGTCATCACCTGCAGCTTCTTAAACTGCTCGTGAGACTGAGAGGCTCCCAGTTGAAGGGAGTAAAATAGAGACCTCTCAGAAAGAACCTCCATCTATGTGTCGAGCACACAACAGACACTCGGAGACACTCCCGGCAGACTGTCCTCCTCATGCATCGTAATCCTCTCCACGCTTGCACAACATGCAGCTGTGGTCATGAACACCAACACCAACACACACCTTCCCTGGACACCCCAACATTAATATCACAATGCCTTCAGCAAACAGTCAATGTGTGCTTGAGTCACATGTCGGCCATTTTGGAGTGACAAATCACTCCCAACTGTCTCGCATCTCACTCCAGCACCGCAGATCTGATGAAACACAATGGCTTTGGAGACGAGGGAAAATTCTGCCCATTCTTCAACTGGACCATCTGTGTTTTTTTTTTTTAAAGCTCTGGAATGAAAAGATGCATCTTCCTGGTGACCATGTTTTGGCGGAGATATCTGCTCAGCATGACTTTCCGGGGTTCACGATGTGGCCCCCAGTCACTGCTTAACCAGTTGGTCAACGCTGTGTCTGCTGGCATGGGACTGTGCAGGAAAACTGGACTGCCTTTTAAAAGTTACCCATATTCAGCCAAAAAAACTGGACATTCCATTAAAGGTAAGTTTTAAATGTCTGGGTGAAAGCAAAGGGAGAACAAGAATCACCTAAAGGGATGGTGGACGGGTCATTAAGAGAAGCAGTGTGATATTATGGGGTCCCAGCAGGTCCTGCCCTCTCCTTCCACATCCCTCTTATGCCTGGAATACATCGAGCCGATTTTTGGCTGCCAAAATCTCTCAGGCTGTCAGTATGAGTCAGTGACAGCCTGTCATGCCGGTGTGCGCAGCACGATCAGACACAGTCGGGCCCCATCGAGACACAGTCGGGCCCCATCGAGACACAGTCGGGCCCCATCGGCGCCGTTTTGGCTGACTGAGCATGTTGAATCAGTGTTGAAACTAGTAGGTCAAACTGAGTTCTCTGACTGGCCTTATATCACCCATCACCTCTAGCTATGCCGGTGTGTTCCAGAGCAAATTTTCACTATGGATGACAGGGACAGGAGCCGACGGGAGCCAATCGTTCGTCAGCCTTGGTTGGCACTATCCTATTGCCAGCGGCTTGGTGAGTACCCGGCTTTAGTCTGTCCTTGGGTTTTTATCTACAGTCAAATAGACAAAGAGAATGCATCAATTAAGAATTGGAAAAATACAAGCAATACATTGCCTTGAACATCCAGGGGCTTGGGGTAAGGTGCTGCTTCAGTCTGAGATTGCTGAAGGTCAGCTAATTACCGGCATTCGTCCATTTGATGTGGAGTTCACCTCGGAACATCCGTTCTTCCCTAGCCAGCAGCCCAAGGTAGCTGTTTCCTCTGTGAAGTTTGTGGAGGCCAGATGGGAGAGAGAAAACATAACAAAAGGCCTGTGCTGCCCTCAGACGCTCCTCAGGACGTCAGCAATACCAGGCGAACCACGGGGCGCGTACAACTAGGTCAGCAGGTATGGTTGTGCACTCGGAATCTACCCCTGCGCATGCAAAATCACTGCACACTACGCAGGTCCCTTTAGGACTGCAGTGGGGAAGCCCAGTGATTTATCAGCTGGTACTACAAAAATCCCACTGGGTGAGCCTGTTTTTTAATTCTCCTCTGTCACCCCCTGTGTCTCTGCCCCCCTCCTTCTTGTTCTGTTGCAGGTGATCTGGAGACTGCTGGATTCCCGCAGGCTGGGGCAGGGAATGCCGCATCTCGTGAATCGGGTGGGCTAAGGTCCGGAAAAGTGTTCCTGGATGCCATCCTATCGCACCCTGGACCATTTCCATAGGGAGCAGCCGGACTGCCCCGGGCCGCCAGGAGTTGACCATGGGTGGGGGGAGGGCCCACCGTCATGCCAGGCATGAACAACAGGTGGCGCCAATGAGACAGAGGTCCTGGGGAATCCTCCTGGAATCCCTAGGAAGTGATGTCACTGCGTTCTGAGTGAGGATTATTGAACTAAGGAAGTATTTCTCTTGTTCCTGGCTAGGAAAGTTTATTTTGAGAACAGTTTATTTTTTGACCCTCTGAGCTGTCTTCCGATTTCTGTCTCCACTCTCATTAAGTTTCGTTTTCTCTGTCTCTCAACAAAGGCAATTGTCTTTGCTCATAGCTCCCACCTCTGTCTGCTCTGTGCTCACCTTATTTCACAGCCCTGACACATCCCCAGCTCCCGTGGCTTTCCATGCTACCTATGTGTGCAAGGCATGGATACAGCCCAAGTCGAATGGCCCACAAAATTATTTTCAGGCCCAGCATAGCAGAATGTAATTTATTCTGATAAAATGTAGCTCTACTTAGCTGTGCATGCTCATTGTGTTTAAAGCCCCCACCCCAACTAGGGTCTCCTCGGTTGGCCAATCAGAAAGTGCCACTGATGATCCACATTAATTCAGCCTGGGTTTGCTTCCAGAAAATGTTCTGGGCTCACCGGGTTCAGATCAGGTCTATACCATCAGGCAACCCTGGATTTTCTCAGTGATCGCACCTTCCCCCCCCCCCATCTTTTAAGGAAATGCTCCTTGTTTCCTTAGCAGAACTTTGCTCCTGGACATCTTTAAATTCTTAATTCAGCTGTGTTGACAGGAGGGGATCTACGATGACAAGAGACTGGATTTAGGTCCAACAACGTGATTAAATTCCAGAATGACAACCGCTGTGCCCTTGAGCGAAACGCTAAGCCTACATCTAGTCATGTACGATGCTGTTGC